CCCCCCCCAAAAAAAGGGGCTGGTAAGCTATTAAAGCAATTCCACAGAGTAGGTAAATAGGGGTTAAATTAGTCATTTTGATTGTTGATCCCATATTGAGTCAACAAACAGTTTTTGAGCACGAGCTGCGGTTGAAGTGGTCAACTGGATGGTAGAGCTTCAAGGACCAAGAAGTCCAAAGTCAATTTTTCTGGTGAAGGAGGAAAATACATAAACAGTGCATCAGTCAGTGCTCTGTGACTCAAAGGCACGAACAAGGGGTCTGCAGAAATGGGAGCCTGAAAGCCTACAAACTATGCGAAAAAATGTTCAACCCCTCTAGTCATTAGAGAAATACGAATCAAAACAAAAAGCTACACTTTGCCTCTCAGATTGGCAGATTTTAGGGAGTTGCATAGTAACAGCTGCTTAAAGGTAATTGAGAAGCAGGACTTACCTGAGCGGAGCAGGACCTTCTGCAGCCATCCAGGAGAGCGATCTGACAGCAATCAGAAGAATGTTTATACCTTGGTCCAGTGGACTCCCCCCTGGGCGTAGGCGTATGTGATACGGAGTCATACTCTAGTGCATGGCACAATATGATCATTTTAATTTCAGCACTATTTCAAGCAGTTTTGAGGCAACCTGCATGGCCACCACTAGAGAAATATGTAAGAAGAAAAGTCATGATTTGCTCACCATGGAATTGGAAACAGGTCATTTGAAATATCTAGAGCAACATAAAAACAAGGTCTTGAGTGAAAAATGAAGAGAACAGAAGCTAGAAAAAAAGTATCATTTAGTAAATTAATATCATAAGGGGAAAAACACCTTATATTTTCCTGTGTTGTCCACCTAGCCTAAGAAATAGTCTAAGCAATACATGCAAGACAATAAGGGGCAATCGGATGTGAGAGTTAGAAATGAAGGAAAATATTGTTAAAATAAAAATAGGAGAAGGACCTTGCAGAGACCGAAGAGGATGTCGGTTATAGTCTAAGGAGTATGATTAACTCAACTTTCCACTTGACATTCAAATTAACTCTAACCCAAACAAAAAAGTGAATAAGAACCACAGAACAGAGTAAAATGACCTGAGGTGTGCTGTGGAAGCAGAGATGGGGAAAAAAACCAGCGAGGCCAAGGGCTAGCAAAATGGTTTCATAGAGTCGATAATGCCTGACGGCTGAATAGGAGACAGGGGAAAGAAATCTGAGGATGTCAGGATGAGAGCGTGTGGGGGAGCTGCTTTTAAGGAGGGAGACAAGAATGTAAAATGGCCTAAAGTCATAAAGTACAATATCATGTTAGAAACGAGAACTGGATGTAATTGCCTTGAGTGTAGGCTACTTAGGTAAGTATTTGAGGTTTGTCTGGAAAAATGCAAGAGGGCAAGATTATACATATTGTAAAGGGCTTAAATAGGTCAAGGACACAAGGGGGTCAGACCTAACATAAAGAAATGTGAGTGAGAAAAAGAAACAAGGTATAAATTCAAAGGATATTTAAGAGGTACACAGGTTGCAGGAAGTGTGGGAGAGGCATGAAGCCAGAGGATAGCTCCATATTTTAACTTGAGCACTTGAATGATGAACTCTTAACTTTCTTTGCTATGTCCTTTATAATAGATGACTCAGTTGTCACTGAACTTTGATGAAATGATCTGAAAAATGGTGATCATGTGTTTACTTAAAAACACCAGGGTTGGACAGTGGCAAGTCCACTCAGGTTTAATAATTGCTTCTTTACTGACCTATCACTGCCACTGGATCATACACCTCTCACGGGTAGAGACCTTGTCATAGCCATCACTGAATACCCAGCATACATCACAATGTCTGATACAGAGAAGTGGCTCAGTAGGTATGTGAGGACAGTAGGGATGAATGAATCATTGAAAAAAACTGAGGTTCCTAGTTTTATGTCTGCCATTGTCTGACTTGATCTGTGACCTTATATAAATTACTTAATCTTTGTGGGCTTCAGTTCCCTCTTTTGCAAAACAGGTAGAAACCCTAGCATGACTGTATCCAAGATTTGTCAGGTAGAATAGTGAGATAATAGACTTAGTAACGATTTGAAAAATCAGACATTCAGAAAATTGATATTCTGTCAGTATGCATTGAATAAACAACTTCTTTTGTGGGATATGGAATATTGGAAATGTTAACTACAGGTATAAAATGGATCAGAGAAAAATAGTGCTCTTGGGAAGAGTGTATTGGCTAATAAAGAATTATTATNTCATTTTCAGTATCATTATGAAAAAAACTTAGAGCTACCAGATGGAAAGGTGCTATTAACTATAAAGTCACTTGCTCAATATTATAAACTTTATGCATTCTTCCATAATTATGTCCTCCAATTGGTTCATTACTTTTTATGTCCGTACCAGAAACTGCTTGATGCTTTGAAAGTGTTTCTGTGTAATCTTGGTTTATTTAGTTCAATTCATCAATATTATGCTCAGTTAAATTATTGATGATAGATACATATAGATAGATGATGATAGATAGATAAATAGATAGATATAGATAGATGATAGATAGATAGATAGATAGATAGATAGATAGATAGATAGATAGATAGATAGATGATAGATGATAGATAGATAGATAGATAGATAGATGATAGATAGATGATAGATAGATGATAGATAGATAGATAGATAGATGATAGATAGATGATAGATAGATGTAGATGATAGATAGATGTAGATAGATGATAGATAGATGGGTAGCATATCTAGATACGGATCCATCAGAATACTATCAGAGTCCAAATACATTGCCAGCCTGAAAGGACCTTTTGAAACTTCCATGTAGTCTTTGCTTTTTCTGTATGGGGAACTGGGGCAGGTAGTCACCCTAAACATATGATAAGGAAGGAAGATTTTAGAGGGAAAAAACGTGGGTCAAAAGGAAGAAGTCTGATATATTTTAAAGCCATGTTTATATTATATTTGTTAATTTTATTCTATTTCCCTGCAGGTTTAAATGTTTGTTGGGCCACTTGGCTACTGATCAGAGAACACAAAATGAATAACTCCACAAACTCCTCTAACAATGGCCTGGCTCTGGCCAGCCCTTATAAGACCTTTGAAGTGGTATTTATTGTCCTGGTGGCTGGATCCCTCAGTTTAGTTACCATCATTGGGAACATCCTGGTCATGGTCTCCATTAAAGTCAACCGCCACCTCCAGACGGTCAACAATTACTTTCTATTCAGCTTGGCCTGTGCTGACCTCATCATTGGTGTTTTCTCCATGAACTTGTATACCCTCTACACTGTGATTGGCTACTGGCCTTTGGGACCTGTGGTCTGTGACCTCTGGCTTGCTCTGGACTACGTGGTCAGCAATGCCTCAGTGATGAATCTGCTCATCATCAGCTTTGACAGGTACTTCTGCGTCACCAAACCGCTCACCTACCCTGTCAAGCGGACCACAAAAATGGCAGGCATGATGATTGCAGCTGCCTGGGTCCTCTCCTTCATCCTCTGGGCCCCAGCCATTCTCTTCTGGCAGTTCATTGTTGGCGTGAGGACGGTGGAGGACGGGGAATGCTACATTCAATTTTTCTCCAACGCGGCTGTCACCTTTGGCACTGCCATCGCAGCCTTCTACTTGCCCGTGATCATCATGACTGTATTGTACTGGCACATATCTCGAGCCAGCAAGAGCAGGATAAAGAAGGACAAGAAAGAGCCCGTGGCCAACCAAGATCCAGTCTCTCCAAGTCTAGTACAAGGAAGGATAGTGAAGCCAAACAGCGGCAACACGCCTGGCAGTGACGACGGCCTGGAGCACAACAGAATCCAGAATGGCAAAGCCCCCAGAGACGCTGTGACAGAGAACTGTGTCCAGGGGGAAGAGAAAGAGAGCTCCAATGACTCCACCTCGGTCAGTGCCGTTGCCTCTAATATGAGGGATGATGAGATAACCCAGGACGAAAACACCGTTTCCACGTCCCTGGGCCACTCCAGAGAGGAGAACTCTAAGCAAACATGCATCAAAATTGTCACCAAGACCCAAAAAGGTGACTTGTGTACTCCTACTAATACCACCGTGGAGCTCGTTAGTTCATCAGGTCAAGACGGAGAGGAAAAACAGAACATCGTAGCTCGAAAGATTGTGAAGATGACTAAGCAGCCTGCAAAAAAGAAGCCGCCTCCATCCCGGGAAAAGAAAGTGACCAGGACGATCTTGGCTATTCTGCTGGCTTTCATCATTACCTGGGCCCCGTACAACGTCATGGTGCTCATTAACACCTTCTGTGCGCCCTGCATCCCCAACACAGTGTGGACAATCGGCTATTGGCTCTGTTA